AGAATGCTTATGGAGTAGCGAACTTGAGACATTTCTGAATATCTCTGCCCCTTTAGTTTTTGATCAGAGTGTATATCGTCTAATAGCAAAGGCGAATAGCAGATGGCGCAGACCGTGTTGACCGTCAGTCAGAGTGATTTTGTGTTTTTGATCTGTTCCATCCAGTAAAAACAGGAAACTCGAATTTCCTTGACATCATAGTTTCCTCTGGCTTTATCCGGGATACCATTTCAAAAACAAGACGGGTAAAGAAGACAACCATTCTCATTTGTCTGACGACTGGAATACTGAACTAAGAATATTCATTACCAATCTCATCAGTTCCCTGCGGCATGTGCATTGTCCTTTACCATATCTTCTGTGCCATGAATGATTCTTCTGTAGCGAAAATCCAAACATGACTGGTTCATTCTTGATATGAAGGAAGGTGTAAATTGCGTCCACAAGGCTTACAAATTGGACAGGGGTGCGCCACCGACCACAGGTTGGATACTGCCGTCTGCACATACGACTTTATCCAAATCTCCGTAAGTATCATGTATATTAATGGCACTTGCACTGAAACCGATTTTATTCATATAGACTGGATATCGTTATTCTTATTAATCGCGTTCTTTAAAATCCTGTGGCGCGTATGTTTGATTTGCCTACTGCTGTCGCTTGTTGGTACCTGGTGGTTAAGTCAAGATCGCTGGCAGTCTGGTCGAACGGAAGTGACATCTACCCGCCTTATCCGTTTTCACGTTGGAACACCTTTAGGACCATCACAGTCCCGCACTCTGGGCACGAAAGTATGCCCATATAGCTTGTTTTACCTCGCACAATTTACCCCTATCACTACTCGTTAGGCATGCGAATCCTGCTGATAATCTGCCGTCACCGTGACCGTTGAGGTTCTAACCAGGCTTTGATTGTTAGAGTTGTGCACTTTGGTTCTGTAAGCTGCTTATATTGTTCTTATTCATGACAAAAAATTTTTCTAGCGTCTGTTTACTCATTATGGTCGAAAACTAAATACAGGCAGGCACGACACAACCATCCATATGATACTTCCTGCGAAGATGAGCATATTTAGTAAAACACTAGGTAATGTGTCGCATAATACAACTTCGTTGATAAGGAAAGGTTAGATGGGACTTATCAGAAACCATAATATCCCCTCTGGTTAATGGTATTGGCAGAGTGCACAAGGTTACGACACCTGCGGCGATTCGTCACAGCCTGTGTAAACTTCAACGGGGTCTGAACGTATCGTCCCTATGCAATTCAAGCCACATGAATATAAACAGACAATCCCAAGGTTTGAAACAGGGTTATTATTATTATTATTATTACGAAAGCCATGCGCTTTGCGTGTGTTTTGACTTTTCCTTGTAATGCATTCAAAAACACTGACCACTCATTTTGTCTGACTTCATTCAGTTTGCCTGTGAAATCATATTTTACCTTTTATGTCTATCAGTGTTACCACTGTATTTCATTTTGAATGGAAACTGCAGTGGCCGTCAAAATTGAAGAACAGTTTTCACAGAGTCCACTTACTGTTTGCACATACATTTGTTGTTTGACAAGCAATCGTTTTGGATTTAGTCTGTTCTACCTTTAGCTTCGGAACTCTAGAAATCCATATCTTCGTTACGTGCTACTTCGTGGATTTGACTCAATAATGCCCTAAATTCCACTGCTAGCTACTACCTGTGTTTACTACCAGCAACGTTGTCGCACCATTGCAACGTGAAACAGATGGAATGCCTGCCAGAAACTTGGAAGTGTTACTTCGGAATTAATAAGAGTTCACTGACCGCAGTACTACTTTCAGGTAACCAGGATTTAATTTGACTTCAATAAAAGTCGTGTACTTTATCAGGCTTTCGCTCTCACACTTCTGTCACATTCATTTTACATGCTTGTAAATGACCCGTACATATTCGCAGTCGTCATGCTCAACCCATCAAAGTTGTTATATCTTATCGAGCCCACAGATTCTTGGCAAGTTTTCACAGTTGCGTATGCCGTGTTACTGCGGCTATCAGCAACTAACACTGAAAATTTCACAGCTAAAGGGTCGAAGTTGAAGGTAATTAAAGACATCATTTCGGCGTAGTACCAAGCAAGTACCTATTATCATTCCTATCATTAGTGTTTCTTTTTGAGTTCTCCTTTCGGTGTTCCTGTGAGGAAATCATCTTGTCTCTTGAATATATCCCCATTCGAACCTCTCCACAAATATCTAACCTTCTAATATTGTTGTCTGCCCAGCCTAACTTTATTCAAACACTTGCGCAAATATCCTTCGCAGCAATATTACACCACCGTTTAAACTAATATTTTCTGTGAATACTTATACTTACAAACACAACCAGTTTTAACCGTTCGGATTAAGCGACGTGTACCTCCTGCTTTGCCTACTGCTATCGTGCATCTCGTCGACATTTCCCGGTTACGATAAGACGTATTACATCGCTGTCTAACCAAGTTGATATCGCCCTACTCATCAACCTCCAAGCTAGAAGTTGTTCGGAAGACCTACCACTGCGAACCCAGTGTTCGCAAAAGTATTACGTTCATGTCGCGACTGCTTTACCCTATATGTCGTCTACTTGAAATCATAACTGACCACAACTACCAGAACCCAGTAAGACTCGTCTTCTATTTCCCTTTTTATCTTTGTGCGCCTTTGGCGTGTCCACCGTCAACATCCAGCAATGTAACGAAGTTCCATGACTATGATGCAAGGGTGATGGACGCAAGGAATTCATCAAACTAAGTGTTTCCTGGACATTCGAAATTCAGAATAGTGAAATCTCCAGACCGTGACGGTATAGGATCGGTGGTCTTACGATATGCGTTGAAGTGCTGGACATACTCGCATGCAACCTGTTTGCACACTCTTTGGGCGTAACTTGACTCCCAAAAGAGTGGAAGCTAACCATTCTTCCACCAATCTTCAAGGAAGGGGGCTGAGAAAGTCCCATGCACTTGCAGACCGATAACGCTGCCTCCCATATTATCAACGCCTGGTTGCAGATGTTTTTCGGAACTGCCTAAAAGGAAACGACAGCTGATCCCACCCGACATGGCCTCAGAACCGAACGGCCATGTGGCGCGAAATTGATGGCCAGTCAGCATGACTGGACCAATGGGTGGGACAAGAAGCAACTGGTTCATGTTATTGTAGCGTCATACACTTCCCCAAAATCAGTAGCCTAGGGTTTGACGACTTTCGACATCGATGCTGACCTTGATAGTTTAACTGGACTCGCTAAGCTGAAGGCACCCGGTCAAGCATCCTGGCCATTTGGCACGCTGTCGTGTTACGTTGCATTGCTCTTATTCGACTCTCTAGCCAGTTAGTTGGAACGCATCGGTATTTTGGCATAACCATCCAAATATACTATTCCATCCGACTACGCTATCGTGTTCTGCCTTGGTCTCGTATTCGTGGGTATATAACAAGTTCGAATAATTAGTGATTGGTCGTTGCGTCTGTCAAGTTCGCACCAGGACAAATCCTAAATTGGTGAGCCCGACGTGATTCGAACACGCAGCCTTTCTGGACCTGGCTGTGGCTTTTGACAGCTTCCCACACCACATATTTCTCCCTAAACCTGCAAAAATGGATATCATCAAACCACTCATATCATGGTTTACAGCTCATCCGTAAGATAATTCTTTGTCAAAAGTCAATAGGATTCGATCAGCCTGGAAGGGGGCAAGAATATGAGTTTCTCAAGGATCATTTGTTGATCACATCAAAATATGGAGGACAATAGGCAGGAGGGAGTACCCTTGAATACTCTAGGATCTGTCACAGCTGGAGTCCCCTTTAGCTGCAAGTGATTTCATCTTAAACCTGGAGAAGCGCAAGGTGATGTACCTTCGGACACCGAACACGAAAACCAGCCACACTCTAAACAGCTGCACAGTCCCCAGGATATCCGCAGATAAGCGCCTAGGATTAAACCTCTCTGACGCGCTGGATTATTATCAACTGTGAGGGAATTGCGGCGGGGACGGATACCATCATACACCTTCCAAAACGGCAACCAGGAGCTCCAACCCCCGAATTATTTCTCATGACATTTGAAACCTATGCTTGTCCACCTCTAAAGTATTCAGCATTATGGCTCCCTCTCTACTAAATTGATGTGACTACTCTCAAGGAGGTGTAGAGGAGGGCAACAAGATCGGTTGTTGAACCAGCAGGTAAAAGCATGTGTGCGGCGTCTTAGACAGCGCAACTTCTTGGCCTTGAGTTGTCGAAGGAAGAGAGGCGACCTAAGGACAACCAACAAAGTCATCCATCGAGTGGACCTCCCCGGCGGTCCAAAACCGACAGCCTCGTAGGAGCCCCACTCACATACCCCATCAAGCAGCAATGGTGAGAATGAGATCAAAGTTCTCGTTACGCGAAGTGTCTTGTGGAACGCTTTACTGAAGGAAGTAACTACAGCTGCGTCGGCCGACTTCTTCAAATGGCCGCTAGATATGTCTGTGAGCGCAAATGGCTTACCACGAAGAGCCGCCGATAGCAACTGAAGGTGCCATTAACCTATAGCATGCGAAGTGAGACCCATGCATTCTCTATATTATTACCAGTAACAATTAGTCTTCCATAAGGGCCGTTCACTCCTCCTTTCTCATTCCCCACCAGCACTATTTATAGTATTATTTTTATGCGATGCCTATTACTTACTTAGAGGTGCTTACAAAAATAGGGATTTCAAAAGACGAATTGGTCCTATCTGTTACCCTCACCTAGAACAAACCAAGTTACAATTAACAAACGAAAACCTACAAATAGACAATCACTACCTCCAAAATAGGTAAAATGTAAAGGCTTCTGTAACCACCGAAGAAGTATAACCGAACAAAAAGAACTAAGCATCATGACCTAGGAGTGAAAGCTCAAAAATTGAAACTTTCCTCCACTCGCGCTATTGGTGTTGGATGTTCAGTGTCTATTGAGTTTGTTATAATGCACCACAGTGCTAAATAATACCTTGATAAGGTCAAGAGACCCGTTTGTTGTAATGCTCTTGGTATGATTTGAAGTACCGCATAGAGGTTTTCTCAGTTTCTCATTAATCAACAATCATGGAGTGGAATGAACAATATGGACAATCGATGGGTAGTATAAAATCAGAGAATTATGATATGGGATCTATAGTCAAGCCAGAAGGCTTTGACATGATGAATTCAGGAGCTCACAATGAGTTAGTTCGATTATTTTATTTATTTTTGTCAGTGCAATTGTTTCAATAACTAGTGATGGAACTGCAACATTAATGTCTCCTGGTGAAATGAGGTAAGAAAGGTATTTTTCACGACTACGTTTTGCCAGGTTTCCATTTTCCCCTGGTTTTATATCCGTTCGTTAGAAATTTTATGAAAATATTTTGCAAGTTAATAAAACCATTTAGGCTTCAGCATAGTCTGTTGTTGGTCTTGTGTCCAATTTGTATTCGTCACTAATGATAACGATGTTGGTTGCTGTCTGTTCTCTCAGTTTTCTGAGGAGTAATCATTCGCTGCTCATGGGTCTGGCGTTGTCTGAGGCACACGATGGGTTTCAGTTACGATAGTTATATCCCTCTTCGATTGAGTAACCATCACAGCCCATCACGTTAAATTGGCAGTAATGGTCTGATGATACCGTTTTCGCTTGCTAATTAGTGGGCGTTTCACTTATGCTCGTAGTGGAGGAGTTACCGCCTTTAACTTGCTTGGTTTTATTTATTCGGTATTGTCGGACAACTTGACTGTTTTACGCTAACTGTTCGACAAATCAATCGAAATAGAAAATCAAAGCGATTTAGAGATGTCATACAGCGGCTGTGCAAGTTTATGCATCCAGCGATGAACCAAAACTATCTTTGCGGTTGATCATACAACTTGTTTGCTCACAATTAGAACCCATGACCTATTTCGGGTGGTATTTCTATTATGAAAATTTCAGCATTTGATGTCTCATCAGATTTTTGTACAATATTTGCAAATAAAGTAATCATGGCACGTATATATTCTCATGATCTAAACGTATTTTATGGGAGTGATTTAATGGCACTCATTCGATAGCTTGACTCAGATATTTGGCTTTGAAGCGGTGGTTACTGACTTGAAGCCTACCTCACCTGCTTCTACCTGGACAACCAGTATCGTTTTCCTTACCTACTAAATCAAACAGTGTAGTATAGTAAGCTGTGCTTGGTTCCTAAGTTTTATTCATTGTGAAATATCTTTTATAGAGAAAGTTCAAACATGGGTAAAAGTGAGATGTTAGAAAAGTTTGTAATCAGTTAGCGGGTCCGGCAGTACGGAAATGCCAACCATGTTAATTGTGGAAGTTTTGGTTGTCTTTCTGAATCTTTAAACTACAGGACACTGATTATTTGTAATGGAAACCCATCTTGTACTTCGGTTCAGCACGACGTTCATTTCACGTTTCGTAACAATTGGTTATAGTTGCCACTAGTTGGTAACGGTTTGAAGCAGTCCTCAGGCTCTGCTCAAGAAATATGAAATGGGATTTCGTGTTGAAACCTAGTACTTAAGACATCACTTCAAAAGTCATCCGTTTCTGAGTTTACGGGGTAGGAAGGCAAATAAACCATACAAAAAGCCATTGTGATGGACTTTTTGAATCACTGTGGATTAAGAGATGGACTAAGAAGGGGAAGTTCTGAAATTGTGTAAGCATATGTATAGATCTTTATCTATATATACAAGATAGTTTGGTATACAGTAAGCAACAATGTTGATTATCACATGATATATGGCACGATCTATTGATATCATGATTCATTGCACTTGAAATCTGGACCTATTGAATTGCATATCAATTCGTCTAGCTATAGCCTTATCAGTTAAAGTTTTGAGGTCAAATGCATGGGCTTACACTGGCTTATGAACTGAATTATTCAGCTAGAGCGAATTGGAATAGCTTGATAATACAGAACTGCACGAATCCATATTATTGCTATTATCCATCTTGTTGTATCCTTATCGTCTTTGTCGTCATGACCTCTGTTTAATCATTTGCAGAATTTTGTTAGGTACTCCTGACCTTTTTTATTCAACCGCTTGTTTATTATTAACTGGGATCAGATGAATGAATGCTGAATAACATAACAAACCTCCTGTGAATATTTTCTCACATTTGCATCTAAACACTCGAAGAGTCCATGATTACTCTGGCAGAACTGTGGTTAAGCCCACCAAATTAGACCTTACCGACGGCCATAAAATATTCGTAATATCACAGACTAGACGAAAAGCCAACCATTCTAGCTGATCACATAAATATTGAATACGAAGGTTTTAGAATCCCAGGTTTGCATCGTTTTTATTGATTTATTGTTGCAGATGGCTGGTAAAATAACAACTCAGTAACCAAATGCCAGATCATGCATCAAGTAATTATCCGAAAGTATTTCGTAAAGGCTAGTGCTATTACTTAACTGCTCTTGGTTGATGCTGTGAAGTCTAATCCCGTGGTTTCTCGGTTATGTTTCACATCGTCGCACAAGCGTATAATAATTCAAGTGGTCATCATGATGATGCAGAAAATTAGGCCCAAGCAACGTGGAGGCTGTCAACTGAAAAGTCACATTTTATCGATACAGTAACGAGAATTTAACAAGTAAATCAGATGAGATAACCACAATGCGGTGGCACCCGACTTCATATACAAGACATGTGATGTGAAATGATAGGTTTGTAACAACTTTCAGACATCATCCAGGAAGTTGTGATGCAGCATTCATTAGCCAAATGTGTCCATCCTTCATCTTACTCCATCTTAGCTTTGCTTGCAACAGGTTACAATACTGGTAAAAAATGCATGAACGCTGAAACCCCAATGTGATTTTAAAAGTATAGGAATACAGTCATTACAAAGTTCATTGTGGCAGTGTTTAGGTCTGTGTTCTCACTCCACATATCAAAGTAGGTAGAGAGAACAAGACAGAGTGAATGTTCAGATCGGTCTGGAGGTATATCAGCTGAATGTTTAACCTACCGGCTGCTATTTTCTTGATAACCGCAGTTCGGAAGGTTACAGTTTTCTATTCAACTCAGACCAACACATAATGATCCCACTGAATGGTGTCATTTTCCTCTTTGATCTTCCTGTAATGTATATTTCGTATTTTTTCTTCCCTTAACAGGTATTACTTGTCAAGATAACGAGTCCAGACTGTTTGCAGATTTACCATCTCTTTACCAGAGATGCCTGTAGACTTCGGTGCTTCTGACACTCTTCACAAAATGTGAGCAACGCGGTGATTAAACTTGAAAAACTATCAAAAACATCCTTAACTTGACATAACCAAACCTGTTTTCAAAATGATGGCAAATAATGGCTATCTACTTTTAAAGCATAAGTGTAAAACCTGGGCTCTGGTAGAATCTTAGATTTGTTTATTTGGTTTATAACACAGTGATACAGTATTATTTACCTGATGATGTTTCGAGCATAAATGTTTGCTCATAATCATATCAGTTGATCATATCACATTTATATGATTATGAGCATGAATTTATGCTGGGAACGTCATCAGGTGAATAATACTGTATCACTGTGTGTTATAAGTCAAATAAACAAATCTAATATGGGATTTTCTTAAAAAGTTTTTTCAATTTGTTCGATACACGTCTTTCTCAGTTGACTCTCAGCCATTCACTTCCTATTTATTTTTAGTAACGGGAGCATGCACGTTCCGTCAAGTGATGGGATAACAGGTTCACCATCGATGAAAGATATTGAACGTTTCAATTGTCTATCTGAAGAGGAATTAAAAAACAAGTCCCTTCCTGATCATTTGAAAGAAGGACTTGACATTGTGATAGTAGGAATAAATCCTAGTTTGGCTTCAGCTCATGTTGGACATCATTACGCTGGTCCTGGAAACCATTTTTGGACATGTTTATCACAAGCTGGTTTGGTCCCAATGGCTGTTAGTTGCTATGATGATTCCAAAATGCTGGATTATGGCATTGGCTTCACGAATGTTTGTACAAGACCAACTAAAGGGGCAGCTGAACTCACACGTAAAGAGATGAAAGCTGGTGCAGCTATTATGCTTGAAAAGATGAGGAAATACAAGCCTAAAATTGCTGTATTTAATGGTAAAGGTAAGTTATCAGGTTTTGACGTTTAAGATAATACATATTCTCTGAATATCTTTCTTGTAAAAGTCAAGATACTCATACTTCTCTGGGTCTTAGTAACTGTTTATAGGTGAAGAATATCGACTGGTAGTAGTCAGATTAGCTAATGAAGATAGTTTAGGTTGGACAAATGGATACTGCGCTTTAAAATTTGCAATTACGAATGAACATGAACAATGGACCTCTGAATTTCAAATGGCTGTCTGCTATTTTCTGGTACTACTGTTGAAACATTTGGAAATATTTTCTGTAGCCTCTTGATGACATTACTGATAGATAATATTTGTTTATGAATGACAAGAACGATAATATGGCAAGAGTATTAGTTTTGTAGTACCACCTCTATTGCACTACCAACCTGGAAGATACAAAACTGATTATTGCAATAGCTGCTGTGTCCTAAGGACATCCAAGTTGAGTAGATCACACATGATTTTCTGAGGCATATTAGTTTTGTGTTTTCATTCTACGAAGATCGTGTCGCTGATGAAAGAAACCGACGTAAGAGAGCAAACTGTGCGGTTTCTAAAACAGACCATTATTCATCGCATCTTCCAACAAGTTGACAGCACTAAATTTTCTGACCTCATGAGTGAAAAGTGTTCCTGTCTTATATCTTAGTGAAGCTGTCAGTAAGACTTTGCTCTCGGAAACCTACCACTGTGCCTGACAGTATTTGATTTTGATGCGACTTGTTGTCTAGGCGACAGTCTTGGCGTGATGTAGGATGTTTAAGGACAGACGACTTGGTCTGTATAACTGTGTTGAGTTAGTGTGATAGGCGAGGTCTAACAACGAGCTAAGTCAACGCACATCAGCAACTACGTACAGTTAATGTCAGCAGCGGTTGTTGACTGAGATATGCTGACTCCATTTTGTTCCTCTGGAGATGGCAGAGCGTACCCTCCTGTGCTGTTGGTCTGAATCCATCGAGTTGCTTTATGGTGTTTATTCCCCTTCGGTATGCCCGACAAGTAATTTACCTATTTTTTTTAAATTTTATTTTGAGGTATTTATGAAGCATATGTTGGACACAAGAATTTTTGTATGGGTAGACAACCCACAACTTTAGATGGGACAGATACGGTAAGTTATTGCTAAGTCTTATCGCTAGGATACGTTTTCCTAGGGTATTCGCATGTTTTCATTGTTAATTTCTTCCTAAACAATAAGTGACTAAAGTATCCAATGGCTCACTTTGTTTTTGTATGGCATAGCAGTTGCTTCATTCCGTGTGGTCTATGGATCCCTAGCCTACCGATTTTTACGTTTTTAGTTGTGGTGGTAGGGTCCTGATGAGTTTTGTGTTTCGAAGATATTAATTGGTAGTTCTTTTTCCTCCTGGGCTTGAGTTTTTCCGGGTAGAGCATTCAATGTCGGTCTGAGCGTCATATTACGTACTGCTTTTTTAGGAACCTTCCTAATCCCTCAGAGACTTATTGCTTCGATTTTAAAGTATTTAAGTGACTGGAGCAGAACCATTTCCTTCATTCACCATCTAAACAGTATCGCCACCTCACTGTCTGTCTCACACACAGACATATGTAGTTCTTAGCATAGCAAAAGAAACTGTATAAATTTAAGTTGCATGAAGAAAACACCAAAGTCATGTTTCATTTCTCAGTACGCACATTCCTTTTACCAAATGTTCATTCATTTATTTCATTACTGATTATGATTTGGTGATTAGAGGCAGTGTGTAAAAACACAAGGCTATTCACAAAGCGACATGGATCTCACCAGACACCAGGACACACTATACCGAAAATCAGATCGACTTCATCTCAATGTGAAGAAAGTGGAGACGCAGCCAGCCTTCTTGACACAAGATCAAGAAGAGGAGCAGATGTAGGTTCACAACACTCACTATCTAGTGCAAGGAACCTTCCAAGTCAAATTGAAAGCCTTCACAGAAGCTGGTGATAGGCCACAGTTCAAGTTCAACACCCACTCGGAAGAGAAACTGAAGGACGAAACTACAAAGAACATCACATCAGTCAGCCACCATGAAAAAGTGGGAGACACTAGACAACATCCCTGAGGGAACCTGCTTGGAAGAACACTGGAAGTCTTTGGAAGCTGTGTGGAAGGAAACCTGCATAACCGTGTTAAGAAGGAAGAAGGAGCAAGACAAGGAATGGACCTCCACGGAAATATGAAAGCTGATAGAGGAGGAAGATGGTGGTGGTGAAGCAGAAGATGGACCAGTGCAGTGCAGTGCAATACAAGGATGAACAAAGAAAAGAGGGACTGAGTACGACCTATAAAGTATTACATTGGACAAAAAAGTGAAGAAGAGTGCACGGAGAGACAAAAGACACTACTACGACACACTGACAAGTGAAGGGAAACAGGCTGCAGGTGGGAGAGACAGAGACAGACCTGGTAACATTATTTATACCAAATAACCAGGTCACTACCTGGGAGGGAAGAGATCAACACAGATGAAACCAATGAAAGATAGTGAAGGGAACTTAGTTAGCAAAGGGGAGAAACTAAGGAAACGATGAGCTGACCACTTCAAAAAGCTCTTGAATCGACCACCGCCAGCACCACCACCTGCAACTAGTCTAGAAATACCACCAGCAGCCCAGCCACGGAATTACCAGTGAACACAAACCCCTCGACAAAAGCTTAAGTAAAGTCTTGAACGCCACGCCATAAAGTTGCTGAAATCCGGGAAAGCAGCAGGACGCGATGGAATTCCTCTAGAAACACTGAAAACAGATGCAGAGACATCACGTGCGGACATGTTCATACCACTATTGCAGAAGGTTTGGAGGGAAGGAAGGAAAGGTACCTGCTCATTGATCGGAAGAATCGCAACCTTGTCAAACTCCCAAAAAGGGAGTCATGCTCCTGTCCACCCAAAGCAAAATATTATGCCGCGTCATCCTGGGGAGACTAAACGATGTGTCGGATTCAAAATTACAACTGAAACAGGTTGACTGGCTTCAGAGAAAACAAATCATGTGCGGGTCAAATTGCAAGGCTACGCTACTCATCATCATAGAACAGAGCATAGAATGCCAGTCAGCTGGATGTTTACCTCAACTTCGACTTTGAAAAGGCCTTTGACAGCGCCGACGGAGAAGTAATTTGACAGGCAGCTGATTCAACACCTGTTTCAGTGCCACAAACTTTCATCAGCCTCATTCAATTATAGTATGATGATGGTGATGCTACATGCCAAGTGATTCACAATGGAAAGCTACTCAGTGATGCCTTTGAAGTGAAGACAGGTTGACAGGTAAGACAAAGTTGCCGCTTACTATCACCGATGATCTTCCTGATTGTAGTCGACTGGACTGGATCATGCAACAAACTGTGAGGAGCTGTGAGAAGATGGGCATACGCTGTTTGACCGGTGAAAAGACCCCATAAGAAGACTTGGATTTTACCGATGTTGATTTATGTCTGTCTAGTGTGGTGCAAACTTGAAGATCTGTAGGCGAAAACTAACAAGTTGACGGAAGAAGCGAGGCAGCGAAGGAAGACGGGACCTCCTTTAGGTGAATGTAGAGAAGAGAGAGGTATTGACAATACCCAACGACAAGAACAACAAGAAGGACCAATTACGATGACCGGGTTGGATTAGACATACACTGAGAAGACCGTTTGAGGACAACACGCGTCAGGCCAGGCCGTCGAGTGGAATGACAAATTGAGCGTGCGAAGGTGACATGGAGGAGATGGTGTGGGGAAGAAATGAAAGCTTGTGGGCAGTGGTGGAGCCAGGTTGAAAAGACTGAAGAGAAGAGGGTGGAATGGCGACGCGCTACTGAAGCCTATGTTCCACTAGGAGCCCAAAGGACAAATAATAATAAAAATAATTCATGGGTGTCTTTAAATATTTTTACGCATTATCTCTTGTGTAAAGTACTGAGTACGTATAGTGGTCTGAGCCAACTGGTGTCGACACTAGGCTTTCAAAAACTGTGTTTCAGATTCAAACGTCACTGCAACTGCTTCTGCCTTAGGAATGGGTTAGTGTCATAAGCTGTTAAACATTAAGTGTAATGCACGCAGTGATTGTTTGGCATTCATTTTATGTATTCGGGGAGTAAAATCTTAATTTCTCTGCCGCATATTCTACAAATTGTCGAAATTGGAGCTGATAGCTGAGATTTCTTTTTTATTGACCTTATGTTTTAAAATTTCTATAAGTTAGTTTCTGCAGATTAATCGTTGGAATGCTCTAATGTGAATCTTTTAAATGTGGTCTAATATCATCAACAAATAAGCTTGTATGTGGTGTGCTCGTGTTTTGTGGAGAGCATGTACTAGAATATAAATGGACTGATGATTACTTGCAGAGTCAAAAATCTGTCCATCTTGATAGGTATGTCTAGCGATAGACAGTGAAGTGGTGAAATATGTCGAACAATTCACTCACTTAAGCAGTTGCACCAGCCTGAATGGGCTGGCAGCTGACGAGACTTCAGCTCCGGTACAAAAGCCCCGTCTGGCATTTACTAACTTGTGTCGTCTGTGGTGCCGACTGGCAGGATATCCAACTGTCTATCAAAGGACGAGTATACTGAGCTTCAGTTCGTTCTGTCCTGTTATACGGCTGCGAGACATGACTGTTAAAAAGAGAAAACATGAAGCGATTACAGGGTTTTGATCACGAATGTCTTCTTAGCATTGCTTGCGTTTGGTGGAATCGCCATTTGAGCAGTGTTGATGTCAGGTGAAGGGTGCTGGGCGAGACAGGCAAGTTGAATGATGAGGTTATTAACCGTAGTTGCCTGAAATGGCTTAGACATTTCCTGCACATGCCGAGCCACCACCTACATCGACCTGCCATACCAGGGGAAGTTGCATTTGGTTGGAAGAAGCTTCAGGGTGGCCAGACCAAGGCATGGCAACAGTCGCTGGAGTCTCTTACTGTTAGTCTGAACCATATAAGCAGATATAGGCTGTCTGGTTGGGGTCTCTGAGACGATGGGAATCAGTGGTTGAGGTCTCTTGTTGATGTGGTTGAAAGTGAGTCACAATGGTGCATACGTATTCACCGTTTGACATCCTCTAAAACTTGAATATTTGCATTAACCATTATCTTCCGGTTTTTTTATCCTGTCACATAACTTTGTCTACTTTGATATCACTTTTTTTTCCATCAACCTGTTCTTTGTGTACTACTGTAAAGTGTGGCAACTTTAGGTGATGCACCTGTGCGCGAGGTTCTGCGTTGATTTTTTCAGTCTCACTCATGTCTAGTGTTTGTTAATTTGGTTAGTTTAGGATGAATTTTTTCTGTTGCATTGTTGCATATGTCGGAATTTTCCACGCACTCAGTTCCCCAAACGAATTTACACATTATAAAGATAAGATGTGCAGTGTACAATGAGCTCAATATTATTCCCTTCCTCTTCATGTGCACATAGAAGTTGAATTATCAAATAGAGATATATCTTGACCCACCTAAAAACTGACAATCAGAACCTATAAAGAAAGCATTTATGTAACTTTAAGTTGGAAGTTAGAATACAATCTAGTTTTAACAAATTTGTTACATTTATACTGACCTGTTGCCATAGTTCGAGAACTGGAAGCGATTTTCCTCTTAGAAGCAAAACTGAATGAATAAAGCGTAGTTGATCCATATCTTTTATTGGTAATTTACTCTCCTACAAATCACATTCATCAAAAAATTGTTAAGTAGTCACACGAAACTTTATTTCCTCATGATATTTCAGACAGTCCCATTTCCCTTATCGGTTAGAATACCAACGTTTCGTCTTTTCTCCTTGTTACAGATCATTTTTGTCATGCCTTCTTCCAGTGCACGTTGTGCGCAACTCCCACGCGCTGAGGACAAACTCCCTTTCTTTTTGGCTTTAAGAAAGTTACGTGATTATGTACGTGGTGATTTGGCTGAATTACCAGATTCTGAAGTAGTGTTTGCCGACTATACAGAATTTCGTGTTACTCAACCAGATCCGAAAAGTTTACGTAAAGCAGAACGACGTCGTAAGCGGAAAGCTGAAGCTGCTGCGGCAGCGGCTGCTGCAGCTCTTGCTGCTAATTCCGGTGATGGAACTCTAGTGAATGGGATCGTTTCAAGTCAAGCGATGTCTACTGATGGCATTAGTGTTACTAATGTTTCTCAAGCTTCTAATGGCATTTCAGTTGATGGTAAAGGAAAATCGAAGTCAAAACGTAAGTTATTTCAAAATTCACTATAAAATGAAATGCATTAGTCGTTTGTATTTGTTAACACAATATATTGGCTATACTTTGTGTTGTCGTTTTAGTATGTACCTAGTACTCATTACTCTAATCACAGTGTGACCACTGTTGAGGACAGGTCAATGGGTAATAGCCAAGATAGGCAAGTCGATTGATAAGCTTGTGAAACTTCATCAAATCAGAGGGCTTAGACACGTACTGCACATGCTGACTCATCGCCTACCTCGATGTGCAGTACTGGGGAAGTTGGATTAGGCTTGAAAAGGGTTCGACGTGGCCAGACCAAGGTGTGGCATTAATCTATAAAGTCTTTTACTGTTGGTCTAAGCCATATAGGGAGATGTGGACTGTCTGGCTTGGGTCCCCAAGACGAAAGGAATCAGTAGTTAAGGCCTGTTGGTGAAATGGTTGAAAATCGGTCACAGTAGCGCAGATGTATTCACTGTTTAACACCTTCTAAAACTTCAACGTCTATCTTCAAATTGTTTATTCTCTCTTCTCTCTCTACTTTGGAATCGCTCTCATTCTATCCACCTGCTCTTTGTATACTACTGTGAAGTGTGTCAACTTGAGGTGATGCATTTGTGTGCGAGGTTCTATGTTAATTTTTCGTTTGTTTATCAAGCAGTGAATCCTGGGTTCGAGACCTACTCTGCTCGCTTCGGTTTGAGACAGTACCACAAACTCACACATCAGCTGTGGTTCATAGTCTAGTACATAGACATGTGTCAAGTTGCTGGGTTGCACCATGTTTTATTGTTGTCTTTGTTTAGCTCGCACCATCTACATTTGTTGTGGAATCAGTTCGTCAGTATTAGTGTATATTGTCGTAAGTGCGGACCTGATGATGGAAATATAACTATCACTTCTATAAGTAATACTTTTCAGATGGACAGGTCAAAAAGACTCTCATTTGTATGACAAGCTGAGAAACGGGGAGATAATATAATTCCTCTTAGATCTGCCAGAAGCAGACGCCTAATCTTTATAGTGTTAGGAACTAAAAGAGAGTGACATTTAAAAAACAATAAAATCTAACTCAACAACCATGTGCAATGAGGTACACTTGGAATATAAAGGGAAATGATGCCACCTGGCTGCTCAAACTGCGGTAGGTGGATTAAGATTCAAATCCATGAGTAAATAGGCTGAAAATCAACTACCAAGACCAAATAACCGCAGCTCCTCCTTTAAAAATTCTTTGAAATATGGTAAATTCACTGAACTGCCTGTTGAAATAGTAGGTGTCCATGTTAACTGGATACTACGATGAATGGTCAGCTGTTTGCTACCTTGCTCATAAATTTGACATTATTGATTGTTTATGGTCTACGGTTGACTATCCCATGACCAAAAAATGATGGAACTACTAGCTCACTGGTTTTGTATTCAGCAATATTTCATCCTGTGAACAATCATGTACAAACCAGTCAGGCTATATCTTTTATCATTTTAAACAGTAGTTCGGTTAACCCTATGACTTAACCTAACAATTTCACCTAGCTTATGGTTTCTTCTCCTGATGAAGTTATAATTTTTAAGATGAAGTTGTTGCTCTTAGGTTCGAATCCAACTCCACCTGAACTTATTCGTATAGTTTAGTGGTGGTATCATTAGCTCCTACACAATACTTGTTGTTCACCAGTAACTATATCAGTTAGCCAATGGGGACCAAATGGGGTAAATATATCAGTCCTTCAAGGCTTTTTAGTCGTGACGTGAAAAGGTGATGCGAGTGTGAATCGCCGAAGAAATACTAATTTCCTAATGCTAGCATGTACATGTGGCTGATGAGCTTCCTTTTAATTAACTGTTGACATTTAACAATGTTGTTCGTATTTGCAATTCTAAAAAGAAAGGAGGACAATATTTTGAAGATATCAGTGCTGCGTTTATTAGTTAAGGGGGAAAATCAGTTCTGTCAACAGATTAGACGCATGCACTCGTTTCTATGTAGTCTACTTTCATGTCGTTTCGTTGGTCTCAACAACAGGAAGATCAATTAACATTTTTGTCAAATAAAGTTTGCAATTTTCTATATGTGGATATTCACTAGTCGTAATAAAATATCTGCATCTTTGGAGCTATCGATTACCTCCTTCATTATAAGATGCTGAACATATACCAATTCAAATGTATACTGCTTTAATCATGCTACGTAATAAGTATTTAGAGTAGGTTTTATACAAAATTTACTAACCAATAATGATATGTATACAACTAATTGCCATGGCTTGCTTAATATGACAAAATGTACTGATTTTCTCAAAGAAAAAGTTTAATTGATTCACATGTTTTACTCATTGTTTTACACAAAATGAGATTGTAAACAAGAAGGGATGGGGAACATCAAAGATGGATGTTACTCCTAGCGTTTTGAGATTAGTCTTTTTATGGGTTAGTGGTTTACACTTGTGATTTTCAATCTAGGCTGGTGAACAGCACAATTTACCACTACATGATAGATATATCTGACGGTTTAGTAATAATCTCAGTGTCTTTCTCAGCATAATGTTGACTGGGGTTAAGATTATGTTAGTAAAATGCCAAGGATGATCAAACCGAGATATAATACTTCCTCTGTTAACTGGAATCATGTAGGGAGATCTAGGGATTTATAAGGTGACAATGGCGCAAATGTGTTCACATCTCATCTTCATATAAGTACTGATATCATTCACCACCGTTCCCTTTATCTACTTTTCGATTGATCTTACGGCCTTTTTATTACTTCTTATATTATTATTAGTCTCACTTTCTTGTCAACTTTCACCTGGATGTGCTGTGACATTGATGATGGCAACTGGGGAGGATTGTGTTGTATCATGTTTTTCATGTTTCTCTGTACTTACAAGTAATAGACTTATACTACCTGAGATCTACGCGGTTAAGTACTTTTAGTTACAGATTATTTGACACTTCAAGGATGCCATGCATACTGATCAGTGTTCTGTGCACGTTATAAACCCTCGCTTGAAGTCTTAGATTTCTATCTGTTTGTTCATCTTTCGTTGAACTCTTTTCCTGTGTGAGTACATACATTGTCCTCTATGACACAAACGACTGAAACAAAATCCACTCAGTAACTTCTTTCGGTAGGCAATGAGTCACACCTATGGCTGCCCAAACCTAAGTAGATGGAGCGGGGTTTTAACCCCAATTCAGTAAAAACTGAATTAAATATTCCCTAATAGAGTTGTACTGGATGCAATTGCAATCTTTAACTTTGATGTTGACAACAATAATAATAAATAAGCGCACTCTGTTTATCATAATTAACACCATTATTAAACTAGTTGGTCCAGTTTCTGATGAGGTCTGTTAATCAACGAAACCGATTATCTTTTTAGACAAATAAATGGTCACGTTTGCAAATAGAAAAATGGAGAATGAAAGTGGAGGAAACATGGAAATAATGCAATTGTATAACTTAATTAATTGCAGGTTATCTTTAGTCAATCAAATTATAACCTTTTAATTGGGTTTTTCTTCATTGTTATCAGGAGAAATATTTCAATTCAACTAAATGATAATGCTGTTTGTTGTCTAAGTCTATGTATGAAGTAATACACTTATGGACGAGTAGTCAACGGAAAAGGATGATTATCGTAACTGAAACCCCTAAGTATATTCACTTGTCACTGTGTTTTGATATTTATATATGGTGTAATAGCTGATTTCTTTCCTACTATTTTATAGTACCCGTTTGCTCCTTATGTTCACTAATCTTGCATAAAGTACATTATACCATCTCACCCTTGAATTTATTCTCTACCTTCTCATTCTATGAAGCTTGAAGTTTTACGTGTTCTTTCTTCCATCTATGTTGTTCCATCTGAAGTCACATTTTGTACATTATGCAAGTGGAACTGTACACTAAAAGAGGTCAGAGCACTGCTGTCCTTTTCGAAACAATTCCTTTCAAAATAGGTAGATATTCCTCGCTATTTCTCTATCTCTCTCACTGTCTGTGTCTTTTACACGCCAGAGAGTGTAAAACCCTTACTTGATCCTCTTATCACATCACACACACACTGGTTTCATTTCCATGTCCACCGGTTTGATGAACAGTAAATAGTTCTACAATATTTCGTATGTTGTCGTCCCTATGATGATATAAAAATGCTTACTTTGTTACCATTTCACTCATTATTTCTAAAGGCATTGGTCTAGTTGATTTTCACTGCTTTCTTCTGTTGTTTTTGTTTTATCTTCAGATGTGAACTAGTGTGAGCTTTGTTGTATGAAATTCAGGTACATGGTGTTATAGATAGGTCAAAGCTTATGGCTGGCTAGTGGGTTAAACAAAGTCAATCTAAAATCGTCTACTCCGGGCTAGCAATTTTTATTTGAAACAGTAAAAACTGGTCCATTTTACCATGTACACGAGGACATAGTCTAAATTATTCTCTGTCCATGTTTATGCCTTATATTTCTCTCTCTCTCTTTTGCTTACCAAGTAGAATAAGTTTTCTGTCTATTTTTATGTCTGCCCTTCCACTATTAAATTAGACACATATTTTGTTTGTGTGCATGATCTTATTTATCTGCCTCCTTTGTGTAGGAAGGTAGGCCATAGATATGTGTTTATCCATTTTTATGTGGTTGAGTGACGCATATTTGTTGTCTCTATACTTATCGATCGTGATGGCCTACTGGTCTACCTCCTGCCTTTCCCCTTAGTTCTTTCTATCCACTGTACACACGTATTGATAGAATTTTTCTGACTTAATTGTCTATCTAGCTTATTATTATAAAGAGAGATATGTACAATTAATTCAAGGCTATGTGGCTATGGTTATTACTAATAATATGCGACCGTCTAGTTTTCTCGACTACCCTCTATTTTGCTGTTTAATTTTTCTGTCAGGTGCGTACATTTGTATTATGCATTTCGTGTAACATTCCGAGATATTTTATTTTGACCATCACCGTCGATTACACCATAGATAAGAAACACCAGAGATTTTTTTTAGCATGCATGCGCCATTTACCTTCTTTTATTAAACATACATTAAATTTGATTTGGACGATATTCAATTTTAATGTTGGGATGACAGTAGGTGACATGAATCGAGTCTGGGGTCGAACCTTGTAACCTTCGGGTTAATTTATTTTTCCCGGTAGGATTAGATGAATTCAGACAGTATTGTCTGCTTTCTTAGGACCGGGGAAATATCATCCTGATTGGTACATAGCATAATATTCAACCTGACATACTACTAGACTGAAAATTGTATTCACAAATTTCACAAAGGTGTTTGACATTCCATCCCAGTTAGGAAACTTTAATTCCGAACTTATGTTCTCTTGGAATTACTTTTTCTGAAGGAACTAAGCTGGATGGAAGTGAAGGCAGGCATCACCAGCATGTATTATAATAAACCTCTCCACACTGTCGAAATTCGTACTTCACAGAGATTTATTAGTGGGTCATAAAAGTGTTTTTGTTTGCTCATTTAGGGAGTGCTGTGAATTGTGAAACAGTGATTATTTACTTTGAATGGTAAATTAACAATCAATGTTCACATGCTTGAAACGTTTGCCACACTGATGATACGAATGTACTTCTTAATGCATACTGAGATTTAGACAATCAGTTAGTATCATTGACCCTAATACAATATCTGTCGGTCACATCCTAGTATATAAAACGGTACCTACTTGCTGAACTGCAATATATTCAATTATTAGTTGTTAGCTATAGTATTTTCTAGTTTAACGTCCTATCTGTGAAAAATAGTCCCAGCTCCACTTTCAAAGCAGACTTAAAGAGCTCTTCTTGGTTGGTCTACAACCAGTGGGTTATTGTTTTGGATCCTGCTGCCAACTACCAAGGTTTGAGTGACGAATTAATGTTTTCAGCACTCACCCATAGGTATGGCTCAGCTCATGGACCTCTTTGGGCCATAAATCCTCACGATTTCTTCACTTGCACATTATTAGCGTTAGTAGTCAGCGGGCTTTTTTCTTACCAGGAAAAGCATTCGATATATAAGCTGATTCTAAACACTAATGGATAGTCAACAGAAAACTCTGGTTACTGTCCTATATCAATTGAATGTATCTGTAACCTTTAGTCAATTGATCCTGTATCTACTATTGAAATTTTTTTTGTTTATCATGACTGTAGGGAGTATCCGTCCCGTTCAATATACAATGCAGTTAAACAATACACCTTAATTCCATATCCAGCTTATTAGTGATGTTATGAAACCTATTCTGATCATGTTATTGCTTTGATCATCATTAAACAACCGACTCATACAGGAAATATAACTGTTTTTTATTCCCTGTATCACCCACTTGCAGTCAAACTAACCAATGAACAATACTGGGTCGGATGAGGAAAAGACTCAAGCTTATCCGTCTCTCAGGGTTTTAAGTGCGTTTTATTCTCCATTTTCCTCTGGATTTCTAACATTTCAGCATACTTTGCATATCTTCTGTCATAAACTGTTATTAGCTTGAAAATGATAGAAAAACGACAGAGAATTGTGAAACCATATACTGATATACTACACTTGAAACAATCCACATAGTTGACCTCACTGCACTGAACTTAAGAAGTATCAAGTTTTCAGGTTGAGGACATCATCATTGAAGCACTTGATCTGGGCTTCATTGCTTAACATTTTCTAGTTTAATTCGATTAACTATACGTATGAAACGGTTATAAATGGGTAGGTGCCTTCACTTCTGATGTAGTTCACGCGTTACCTTGATTGAAGTGTGCAAACAAGTGTTGATTACAGTATTGTGCTAGGTTCTGGGTTGAACAGATTAAACAAAAAGTTAACCCCTGATTAATTTCTAATGTACACTGTCGATCATATACTTGACGTTGTTATATTATTCATACATTTATTTAGCGGCAAAACGTAAGAAACCATCTGGTAATCTCATAGCAATAGGCCAGTCACAAAGTAGTATATCAATACAGCAAATTGGTGGCTCTACTTCTACTGTGGCATTTGCAAATTGTACAACAGATTTGCAAATTCAACAACAACAAGCTCTGCAACAACAATTACAACAACAACAACAACAGCAGCAGCAGCAAGCGTTTCTTCTGCAACAACAGCAACAGTTACAACAACAGTTCAACCACTCAGCTCAACAACAACAACAAGCTTTACAACATCAGCAACCACAGCATCAAATGATTGTTAGCGGTGGTCATTTCATGTCATCTGCACCAATGGTCACTTTGTCAACAATGGCGGCAGCAACAGGACCTGGTGGGACAGCTACTGCCATCCCCGTCCATCCTGGTATGAATATTATTTGCTATTGCATATGAATTTTCGTCTCTACAAGTTTCATAATGTCAAGTTTTATGTATATATGTTGTTGAATATCGTCTACTAAATCACGTTTTGTGCGTTACAAAATAATTCTGGAAAAGTGACTTGATCAGCTAGTGGCGAGTAATCACAAACACACCTATCCATTTTTACCATATATTATTTCAAGTGTAATTCATTGTATACGTTTTCTGTTTACTTAGTACTATGGTTGTGTAGTAGTATTAATCATAACAGAAAGAGAGGGGGAGAGCATACTGGTCAGGACTTCTTTGCGCATAGTTCAGTGAGATTGACAAGTTGTCTGTTGAGCAATACAATTTGATGACAATTGTTTAGTGTTGTCCGAGCTTCAAGACTTGTTCTTGGACGTTTCAGTACTTACTTTCTTGTGAAGTAAAATGCTGAAACGTCCAACAACAAACCTTGAAACTCGGATAACAAACAGTTACCATCCTCATCCTTAGCTACAAATCTTCTCTCTTCTATATTTAAATCTGATGACGATAGTATACGAAAAAGGAGAGAGATTTTCGTCTACCAACCTTTCATACTTTTTTGTGTCTAGTAACAATATTGAGCATTGCGGGTTGAAGTGTGATCGTTTCGACCTGAAGTAATTGTTGAACTGAAGGTTGTTGTTATTATCAGATCATAATTTCTGTAAAAACTAATTTAAAGGTTCAGTTGTAGTACTTGAAGTCATTCAACGGATTATGGTGAACTTTTCTTGAGGTGACGTTGAATTATGGTGTCCCCCAGCATCACCTACTATCTTCATTCTTGTTCAACGTTTTTGTAGACATTCTAATAGTGGTCATTACTCTATCTAAAACTTCTCAAGAGCTCACCTAATGGAAAACCTTCGATTTACCTCGAGTGCATGAAGTACATCACTCTTCCAGACGAAGACGCTAACAAGGTTTTATGACAGTACTTTACCATATGGACTGTAAAGTGATGCTTTATCACTAATTTTTATCAATCTTTGGTTTACGATAGGCAATGATTTGGTTCATTTCATTGAAGACTTCATTTATTGAAGAAGTTGTATCCTACTGTATAGGCTAGTGATTGTCTGCCAACTTACACCATCCATATCTTTGGTGGAATATGCAACTGTTCATCAGAGGACAACTATACTTGGTAGCAGTTCTTCCTGCTTCACAGTTATGAGGTGAATACGTTGAGTTGGACAGTCTGAGAAAACTGTAGTTATCAGATCATATGTTCCCCTGAAGCATTGTTTATGTGACATAATCATGAAATGAAAAACTGAATTTGGGCTTAGGAATTTTAGTACAAATGCTAAGTCAGTCAACAGTGCTTTACAGGTGCCTGTAAATAGACGTACAGTGAAAAAACGGTTAAAAGTAATATGCCAGAAACATACTTGTCGTTTATGTGAAATCTCAAACTAATTGTTACTTAGGTATAGTCAAAAAGTTAGAAACCAGCAGTTTCAGATTGGATGACATCGCTGTGAACTGATCGTAAAGATTCATATGTATCCTTGTAGTGGAATCATTGTGTGAGGAATGTTGAGATCAGGCGAAAGGTAATATCCATGATAGGCAAGTTGATTAATAAGCTTGTGAACCTTCATCTAATCAGATGCTCAGGTACTGCGCGTGCCGAACCACCACTTACCTCGACGCGCCATGCTAGGAGAGGTTGCATTTAGTTGGCAGAGAGTTCAGGGTAGCCAGACGAAGATGTGGTACCAGTCGATGAAGTCTATGACTATCGGTCTTTGTCTTGTAGGAGAGATGTAAACTTTCTGTCTAGGGTCCCTGAGACGAAAGGAATCAATAATTGAGGACTGTAGGTGACATGGCTGAAAATGGGTCACAATGACTCTGATATCTTCTGAAGCTTGAATATTTACCCTAATGTTTATCTTCAATTTTTTTATTCTCTCGTTCTCTCTCTCTCCCTACTTCAAAATCGCCCTCATTCTATCCATCGGTTGTTTGTATATTACTGTGATGTGTGTCAACTTGAGGTGAGGTTTGCAAGGTTCTACGTTTAATTTATGTATCTGTCTGGTATTTAACTAAGCCAGTATCCTCTCCTCTCATATGCCTAACGCAAGGGGATAAATTTTTGTACTATATTCGATAGTGTTTTGTCCGTCTTATATATCAGTAAGATTGGTAAACTCATCTACGATGATCACCATTCATCAAAGCTGTAAAACATGAGTTTTCTGCTTCGTTTGCATATTAGGTATGTTTTCTCGGCTCGTTGGTGCCGAAGAATTTCAGTAGCCGTTGCTTATGAAGTTAACCGCTTATTGTTTTGTGCGTATTGCTTTTTTCACTTATTGTAAATCAAACTATTCTAGTCGCATAAAATAAACGGAGATCAGCATAAAAAATCTTTCGATGTCTGATTATCTTTATACAGGGACTCCAGCAGCTGTAGCAGCTGGCTGTTATGCCACTCCTCAATTCCAGTTCTCTGGTAGTCCAGCTGGTGCAACCCAACAGTTCTTTATTAGTCCTCAGGCTTCAGGGTTGTCTGCAGGCGGTCAAACACTACTGCACTGGTCAGCAACTCCATGCACTCAAGCGGGTCCCACGACTGTCCAGTTTCAGCATCCTAATCAACAGCAACAGCAAGCAGTTGCTGCAAGTTGGCAGAATATGTCTACTGTTGGTGCAGCATTCTATCAACAGCATCAGCAACAAAATCAGCAAGTTTGTACAGCTATTCAATCACCTTCTGGAAATGCTGCAACATCTAATGTGACAGCAAGTCATAATCAGCAGCAGCAGCAACAGCAACAGCAACAACAAATGTTTACTCAACAACAGGGAGCTATGCAACAAGCTCAAGTCCAAATGGCTCAGCAAGCTCAACAACAACAACTATTCTTCGCTCCCCAGCATCCAGTTGGATTGCAAGCTGCTGGTGGTGCTACTCAAGCCGCCTATCCACAACAAGTGTATCTAGCTCAAGCTCCTGCTGGTAAGTTCGGTTTGATATATTACGTCTTATATACTCGTGCTTTCAAGGACCATAGGTTAAAGCTCTTCTATTATTAAAGGCGAATGTATTTGCTTAACATTGTCTCCTAGTCAATTCACTCAGACTGTGAGCATATACTGAGGAGTGGTATATGGTCTTACTGTAGATATTTAACCTTGCAAGTTCAGTACAGTTGTTGTCACTTGGTGTGTACTGTAGCTGATAAAGTCCTAAAGTTTGAATGTACCGTCAAAAGGGAAACTGTTATGTGTATTGAAATCTACTGTATACATGCAGTTCTCATATCTGTCTTGTATCACTGTGGCTGAATTCTTATTCCTATTACAATTTTGATTAACTGAGTGCATCACTTTATTTGTATTTGTACATGAAAAACACATTTGGGAAAGTAATTCCTTATATGTAGAAAAAATAGTACTTCTTTGTATTAAATTTAACACATTGACCGTTCATCTAAAATGTAAACTTCATTCATTTCCAGTATAATACCAGTGGATGAAATAGTAATCCTACAACTGCTGTTAGTAAGAACCTATTGTTTACATTTTTTGGCTCAGTTGCACCATTTGTTTATAAATTAATGTTTGCTTCATTAATAATCTGTGGGAACTGTAGCTCAATGGACTAAAGAGATGACTATCAATCATTGGGTCATGGGTTCTAGCCTTACTCCACCTATCAAGGTTTTAGGAGCCAGGTAGTATCACTAGTCTTCACATAATAGGTGTGGCTCATTGCACGGATGTGCACAAGGTGTCTGAGTACACCTCGTTCATTGGTTCATTAATAATCTGGACTGCTGAAAAAATCCATATAATCATTTGGTCAATAAGTTGAGCTTCGATGTTCGTTCCATTGGGCTTTAAGGTTAGTCATCATTAGACAATAGAGGGTCAGTGATATTCTAAGTTTTTAGCTGCACTGACTCAAGATTCCAGTTCAACTACACCTACTTATATCTGTACAACTGGATATTTTAAGCCTTTACAAGAGTGATTTGTAGGGCTATCTTAACAACTGCTGAGATAACCGATTACTTTTCTTTATTTTATAAAAAACTGCCTTCTATGCTGAAATAAAGAAATCTAATTGGTTATTTCATTGTTACTAGGATGGCCTTTAAAGTCGTTGAAAATATGACTGGTTATTTCTAAAGTTTCTGTGGTGGTTTTTAAAGTCACTCCATTTCATCACGTCTGGGTAATCATTCCTTAAAGTATCTGAGTTATAGTGGGATTATTTTCTTACATTCGATTTCATGTGTAAAGTTGTTCATGATTCGATTGGGTATTCGACTTCCTACCAATGAGGTAGTTAGTGAATGAATAATGAATGAAATCCACTCACCAATCTTGTGCACATTGGTGCAGTAGGCAATGAGTTACACCTATTGTGTAGCCGTTTCTAATGCTACCTGGCTGCTTAGACCTTGGTAGGTGGAGTGGTGTTCGAACCCGTGACCCATTGGTTAGAAGTCATCTCTTTAAGCCGCTGAGCCAAAATTTAGTTGGTAGTAACTTCCTCGACCTACAGGGGTTTAAACTGTCAAACAGTTTCACGTTCTTCACACTAGACATATAACTGTATACCAAGTGCATAAATATATACCTTCTTGTTGTTGTTGTCTACTTAAAGATATGTCATATTTCTAATCTATTTTTCTATTTCCGTGCTGTGTTAAACCTTTTAATGAATGTGAACTGTCGAGTATTGATTTTTATTTACCTAAAAACAGGTGGGAGTGCTGGAGGAACTTCCTATCATCTTCTTCCTGTTGGTTGCCCAGCTTCAAATTTCACAGGTTTGCTATTATCCGAACAACAACAACAACAGCAACAACAAGCATTAGCACAATGTTCTTCAGCAACTACTGCAGTACATCTTCAACGAACACAACAAACTCTTCAAGTTCAAGCGCATCAACAACAGCAACAACAACAAGCTCAACAATTTCAACAACAGCAGCAACAACAGATCCAAGCACAAGCACATCAATTACAACCAGCACAACAACATGCTTATATACAACATCAACAACATGCTGCTATGATGGCAGCCGATGTTTCTGTTAGTGGTCAACCTGGTTCAGGTGCTGCACCTCAGTTTATTACTTTAGCACCTGGAGCTCCTTTAAAAGTAATGGCTGTTGGTCCTAATGGTCAGTTAATTCAAACAGCTGGTTTACCACAGTTTATGCCTACTACACCCGTTGGAATGACTATCAATCAGCCCACTGCAGCTATACAACCTCAACAGACATCAATTACAGTTACTCCTCAGCGCCGAGTTACAACACCCCAGCAGCAGCAGCAACAACAACAACAGCCACAACAACAACAACATACAAATGGACGTACAGTTCCGACAGCCTCAGCAACTGCTGCATTTTTCTCTGGGACAGCTATCTCTTCAGGTACAATCCCACTAGTACAACCAGCAGCTGGTGTAGAAGATCTCGTGCAGTCTACAAACAACACTTGTTTGAATACACTAGGATCAGGAGATGAAAAGCTAGTGTACACCGCTTTATAACATTTATTATTCAGATATGCATTTTTTTCTATTCAATGGGGATGTTTGCTTTTTTTTCCCTCTCTCTTCTTGTCGTTGCACAGATTCACACTACAAACCATTTTTTTTATCTACAGATGACCAAAAAGTGTCAATTTTCACCATTTTTAAGTATTTTTCATTATGATGTGATGTAAATTGTAAACTGATTTTATTGTCTTCTAATGTCAAATTTTAATTATATTTTGCATATAATGGACAATCTTTGATTTGTTCTTTAAAGTTCTTTATAACTAACACACACACACACACACTTTCCTACTGTTTCTTGCCTTTGCTTTGTGTATTTAGTAATAATAATATCGACTATGATCATCATGATTGCGTAATTTCCAACCGACTCATCTTTTTTTTCTCTTCAACAAGAAGCAGAATCGTAAGGATGTTTATTTATTCGAGGAGTAAATTATCTAGTCGTTTCTTCTACCTCGTACCATTTTTGGTTATTACAAGTTTGTATTGCTTTTTCGTGTTATCAAACTGTTGACTTGAATGTATCCCATATGTATCGGATCTTATCTTGGATATCTTTATCTCTGTCTCTCTCTCTCTCTCTCTTCCTGTATCTCTTTGAATAATGCACTTCTTGAAATTTTTGTCAAGTTAGTGGACGTTGTGTAACAGAATAATGAAAATGCATTTTCATTTCTCTTAATTACTGTCTTCATATATTCAAGATACAGAAAGCGAATATTTTTCACTTAAATGTAATAAATGAGATTACTTAAGGAATTAATTATATCCAACGAAGTTTTTTTAATTTTCTTCTTTATTCCTGTTAACTATGTGTATTGTATATTTTTATTTTCTCTCTGTATTTATCTTCGTATATATGTCTTTGTTGTATGATTGTATTTGCTTTCTCGTTGTGCAACCAATACACTGATGGTGGTTTTAATCGTCTTCTTTATCGACGCCTCCTTACCTTTTAATCTGTTCTTAACTTCTCTTTTCCTGTTTTTTTTTTACGTATAATATATACGACAAGTATTATGTAAATAAGTGCATATGCATATATTTGTACATTTTTTGTGTATCCTTGTACTTACATCTATCTACCTGTCTATCTATCTTTGTAATATTGATGAAAGTAATAGTGTAATCCTTTTTATTTTCATGATGGTCTATCTACTTATGAAAGTAGTATGTACCTGCGTTTTGTCATATCTTTTTGTTAATGTCTAAGTCAATGGTTCAATTTCAGGGATTAATTGATTTGAAGAGTTTAAGACTATATGGAGAAGTGGGCACACTACCATAGCCTTCAATCGGTGCAACCACAACAGGTATGAGTTATACAATACACTTCAAGTTGTTTTGACATTTGTAATTCACTGTCGCTATGTACAGGACTGAATACTCGACCTCTTTTAGTAGATGAGCTCCTATACGGATGCCTCGATACTGCCGGATAATCATGATATCGTATTCATCTTGGTGACCAGCAGTGGAATCCAGGGTGCACATTTCGTCCTGTTTAGCACTCAGCTGGATGTACCTCCACCCCAGTAAGTGGTAGTATTCCCGCTGAGGCTGGAACCCAGTTACTTATCCCAAAGCGTTACCTCCTAGGCCACTAAGGCACGATAGCCATCTCTTATGCAGTGGGTATCAGTTGTCGTTTTGACAGTTGTAATTCGTCACTCACTGTGGTGCACGTACATCCAGCTAACGGATTCCAAATAGAACGCAACACGCTTCCTGGATTCCACTACTAGTCACCATGATGAACATGACTACAAGTTGAAGTCAAGGGATCAGCAGTATTCCTAATGCTAACTTACTTCGCTACCGTCAATATCTACAATCACTACTGAATTGGTTTACTCCACATTTCCTAAGAACTTAATAATTTATCCATACTAAATTAGTAACCTCGCCTGGTTCACTAGTTACTAGCCGGTACTAAGCCCAGATAAAGAGGGAAGGTTGGGCATAAAGCTAACAACCCTACCCCGGAAAACCAATCCAATACCTAAACAAACTTCACGAATAAATCATAAAAAGTAAAATCAAACTTATTCCTCACTGGAATCAGAGGGACGAGATGACACCAGTTGGTGAAAGCCTTCAGGAAGCCAGTCGGCCGATGTGTCTTCTCTCCTCCCATGAAAGCGAAAGTAAGGATGGGGACGTGGAATGTCCCCACCATGTATGAACCTAGTTGGCAGGGCCGCCCAGATTGCAAACGAGATGAGGAGATATGTCATGGGATCTGCAAGAAACCTGCAGATGGAATGGAAGTGGACTCTACAAACTCTTAACTGGAGAGTCAATAATCTACTCCAATATTGTCACCCAGACGACAATCACCAGCACACTGAGTTTCGGAGTGGCTATCATGATATCCCCAACAGCATCGAAGGCTCTCTCTCATGCAGTGGGAACCAATCTCATCCTCCACGATCACGATCATCACAGTAAGATGGATTCAACTCAAAAGGAAGCAAAGTCACAATCATTCAATGCTACTCTACACACCCACAAATAATGCGGATGAAGAGGAGAAGGAGGAATTATACAGATAACTGCAATCAACACTAAACAAGAACCCACTCCAGTTGGTGACATCAAAATTGTAATGGGTGTGGTGATATGAATGCCAGACTGGGATCAGACAACACAGGAAGAGAACTCATCATCATGGGTCGAGAAGCACTCAGTGAAATGATGAGTGAGAATGGAGAATTGTTTGCAGAATTCTGTGCATTCAACGATTTGGTGATTGGAATCAGGCAGTGTGTTCAAGCACAAGGATATCCACAAAGCGAGTGACATGGATTTCACCAGACACCAGGACACACTATGCCGAAAATCAGATCGACTTCATGTCAATGTGAAGAAGGTGGAGAGGCAGTCAGCCTACTTGACACAAGATCGAGAAGGGGAGCAGCTGTTGGTTGACACCACTCACTATCTAGTGTAAGGAACCTGCCTTCGAAATCAAGTTGAAAGTCTTGAACGAAGTTGGTGATAGGCCACAGTTGAAGTTCAACACCCAAAAAATGAAGGACAAACTACCGAGGATAACTTCACGTCAGCCATCAGAACAAAATGGGAGATATTGAGCAACATACCCTGAGGGAACCTGTGTGGAAGAACGCTGGAAGTCTTTGAAAGAGATGTGGGAAGGGATCTGCACAACGTGTTAGGAAGCAAGACGAGAAGAGAAAAGGATCTCGACGGACACATGGAAACTGATAGAACAGGGAGAGGAGGATGGTGAAGCAGAAGACAAATTAGTGCAAGGATGCACAACGACAAGAGGAACTGAGTACAATGCATAAAACACTACACTAGACAAAGAAGTGAAGAAGAGTGAGCACGCTAAGACAAAAGACACTTCCATGACACACTGGCAAGTGAAGCAGAACAGGCTGCAGGCTGGTAGGGGAGACAGAGACCTGACAACATTATACCAAATAATCAGGTTACTATCTGGTCGGGAAGAGATCAACACGGATGAAACCATTGAGCGATAGTGAAGGGAACTTAGTTAGTACAAGGAACTCACTCTGGCAACGAGGTAACCAAGAACCTAGTGCCCAACAAATATACAGAAGGAGAAGAAAGTGGAGAAGGATTGGGTTGGATTAGATTGGATTGGGCATACAGTGAGAAAGAAAACGGTTTGGGGACATCACATGTCAGGCTACATCAGGCGAGGCGGTCGAGTGGAAGGCCAATTGGAAAGGACGAGTTGGATGTGTGAGGCGAGGGTGGCATGGAGGAGATGGTGTGAGGAAGAAACGAAATCTTGTGGGCTTGGAGTGGTGGAGCGAGATTGAAAAGACTGCAGAGAAGAGAATGCAATGGAGGTGTGCTACTGAATCCCTATGTTCCACTAGGAACCCAAGGGACGAATAGTAATAATTGGTTATCTCAACAGTTGCTAGGGTGGTCTGTAAATACTTCGAAATTACAATCTACGCTAAAGACAACACAAACATCTGAGATTACCAATTATATCTCTCTACTTTATGTTAAATAGTAAGAAAAGGTAAAGAGTGAGACGCGGGATCAAATGTTTTTCATGACGCTTGTACAGTACTGATGAAATATTGTACACTTTCTATCGAAATAATTATTGACACAATGCATTTCATTTCCTCTTCTTCTATTGCGATTTGCGCTTCATATGTCCACATTGTCTGATACTTTTCTCTTTGCAGAATATTCACCGATCGCTGGTAATTCCCTATGACTTCTGCCTTCCTCTCAACATCTACTACTTTTATCCATTCTTATCAGTAGCACCTACAGCACTCGTGCCCCCGTCAAAATTTTAGGCTTGCAGCCGTGCTGATCGTCTTGGTGTTGTCTTCTCTTAGTGGCCATGCAAAGTTCCTACTTTTTCCCAACGTATCCATTTTTGAAGTAGGCTGGTGTTTACCTTTTTCTTTTTGTCCCCTTTTTTGATGGTATAAACTGAACTACGTTTCTCAGTAACCATATATGGTTCTTCGCACTTCGGGAGCAGTTTTCTTTTACCACATTCACCTGAAATTGTCGACAACAGTGCACAAACGAAAAGACAAATGAATATACAGATCAAAACTGGAAACAGACTGAGTAGGATTTTAAGTGCATTGTAGCATTTCAAAGTAAACTATGATCTATATGACCAGTTTGTTATTATTAGTCTCCTGCAAAGTTAATTCTCAACTGTATTTAGCTCTATGTATATAAGACTGAGCAGTCTGAAGTTAGCTTTACGAAATGCAAATAATCTGATCATATATCTCGAAGAAGGTTCATCAGTAATCTGATTTTAACAAATCCTAGTGTACACTTCAGCAGCCTAGTCATATAGAAAAAATAGCCAATCCACGAAATTCAGATGGTTAGTACTATCTGGAGTGTGGTATACACTATTCAGTACCAGACTAACTGCAGGTACTTGACTACTGACTGGGTATATATTGGGCACATATCATGTTTTGCACATGTGAGGTGGAGGGTGGTGTATCTGCTTGTTAGTTTATCTTCTCAGAATGATCATAACACTGTCGCTTGATCATAACTTTGAAGAACATACATCAAGTTTTGTGAGAGAGAAATTATTAAGTTTTTTCAAATTAAAGGCTATCCACAACAGATTTTGACTCAAACTATGCCTAGGATACCTTTCAGTCTTTTTATTAGATGTGTAGCACTGTGAAATGGTAATATGAACACAATTTTAACCAGTAAATAATACCGTCCTACTGTATGACACATTTAACAAACACACTTAAATGGAATCACAATCTACCAGTTTCCAAATCAGTCCAATATTAAACCTGGGGTATTACGAAAATCACACCACACTACTTACAATTTGAAAGTAGTTTAAAAGCATGAATGTTTTAAATGATCCAAACTGCTTGACTCATGAACTTTTTAAGTGTCACAAAGACCAGTTATTTTTAAGCTGATTACAGTGAAAAACGGTCCCTAAACAGTTATTCATTCTGTTGCAAATAATTTCAGTAAGGAAATCTATTTTACTCAATTCCACTTTGCAGTATCTGTTAAAATAATAATTCCATTTTTAACTTGTGATTTGCATTTATGTGATAGTTTCCGTAGAGAGCCATGAGACGTCTTGTGTGAGGATCTATAAGGTTTGGGCTTCTGATTTTCTCTTCCACTTGACTTCTATCTAGTTTTACTTCCTCACTCAACACCTTGGATTCTTTTCACTTCACTGATTTCCTATCAACAATGATTGCAAACAAGCTACCTTCTGAGTTTGTTGATAACTGGAGTGATTTAAAAGTTTAACATCATCCAGGTTTTGCTAGAACTTACAAAATGGCTTATGTTTCATTTATAGACGATAAGAATACTAGTAAGCAATTTTTCAGCCCTCTTTTCTCATTTGTTCATTGTAACCTATGAAGGAAGCATCAATAAGTGGGTGTGTACTAAATATAGTTATTAAGGTGTCACCTACTAATACCAGAGAAGTCAGCTAAAACCAAGGAGTTAGATGTGTAGAATATCTCAATCTTAAGGGTACCTACATTGGGAAGCTATGAACATTAGCGTAAGTTAAGTCGAGAATGAGAATAGATGTACACCGATAATATTGAGTACTAGTTGTCACATCACTTTGACTGAAGTTGAAAAAAGTAAACCAGTGGCAAAACAGTAACCCATATATTATGATGCCTAAATTCAACGAAAATCCACTGATAGTGCATCTACTGAGGCCAAGTTTAAAAAACTTAAATCTCATAAAATGTATGTTGAAACTCCTATGAGTGAAAAAAGAGTAGTTCTACAACAAACGAGGTAATTGCTCGGACCTATCTAGCAGTAACCATGCTTCATATGATGTGTTTTAAATAACAGAATAAACAAGTGGTCATGACTACAAGAGGGTGCTCTGTCTACCACAATGAATAGTAAATCCCAAGCGGGAAATTAGCAGTTGGCTTCAGTTGACAAACTGTGTAACAACAATGACGAACAAGACATATACCTCCAGAAAAGCAAACTCCTATACCACATGGCGGTGGTTATTAAATGAGATAACTGCTGAAGTCGGAAACACACTACTGAAGAGCATGAGTAGTTAGGTACCAATCAATCTTATCTGTAGATGTTGCTAGCTAGATCAGAATGATCTAAACACCGGACGGTCACTTCACTCGTTTGGGGTGGAGTTTATCAGCTGTATACCGAGCTTAAATAGCTGAATTTCTCAGGTTGTCGTCTGGGTTTGACTTAATGGACTAGTATGATTTAGTTAGGATGATCTAATTGCTAATGATTCACAATGGCATTCCTTGCAGCTTAGTAGCTTTTTCAACTGATCAAATGTAGGTTATCAGGATTTCGATTTCAGAGGTCAACAAGAACCGCGCAATTTGTAAGAAATTTTCAAGTTCATCATCCTATGGGAGGCAATAGTGCTGATTAACTCCTTTAAAATGAAAATCCTTAGCTATTATCAACAAGAAAAGTAGCTCGATAACATTGTGGTCATATGCTGGTTACACGTGCTTTATTCGATGGTGTATTTTACTCTATAGAACCCCAGGCTAGGACAAGATATTAACACAGTGGAGTTTGAATCCCAATAACTCCTCCGCCAACTTAAATCGTCTTGAGCTTAAAAAATATCCTTCAAACAGCTTATATCGTATTGTATCAGTAATGATTCACTTAAATGGCATATTATTATTCCTATTCGTTCCTTGGGTTCCTAGTGGAAAATAGGGATTCAGTAGCACACCTCCATTGCACTCTCTTCTCTGCAGTCTTTTCAATCTCGCTCCAACACTCCAAGCCCACAAGATTTCGTTTCTTCCTCACACCATCTCCTCCATGTCACCCTCGCCTCACACATCCAACTCGTCGTCTCCCATTTGCCTTCCACTCGACCGCCTCGCCTGACGTGGCCTGACACGTGATGTCCCCAAACCGTTTTCTTTCTCACTGTATGCCCAATCCAACCCAACCCAATCCTTCTCCACTCTCTTCTCCTTCTGTATATTTGTTGGGCA